ATATTTCATAAATAAAAGGGGAGATAAAATGCATTTCCACTACTAAATCCTACACACTGCTTCTTTCAATCCAACACAATTACAAAAAAATGTCAAGGATGACACAAAAACTCAAGCACTGTTTATTTATTTTCTATTTGAAGTCTGTTAACATAGAGTCACATCAAGCAAGCGTGTTAGAATATATTTCAGAGAATATTATAAACCCAAGATAAAACTGACTGAAGGGCAGGATTTGGAGATAAAAAGTAGGAATTACCAATATGTTAATTAAACACCATGCACAGGGCTATGGATTTATCAATACACATTACATTGAGGCTGGTGATATTTCAGAGCCATGGATTCTACCTTGCACAAACCTCAATCAGATAAAGGATCAATGAGTCTCCCTAGACTAACATATTAAACTAAACAGCACCTCTGCCCCCGCACGCTCTCTGATACTAATGGATGGAATAGGTGTAATGGCAGGTTAACGAGGGGTACGCATGTTGGTCATTTTGCTCACAAGAGGATAGCATCTCCCCTCTAATCGCATACTAAGCTTGATTATATAAGCCATGCTAGGCTCTGTGAGGCTATACAAAAAGCAAAAAATGCTGTTAAATGTTAATAATAATCAATGAGGAATATGTCTAAACATTCATTTTGAAACATTTCACTCAAACCCTCATATCTTCAGCCAACTTTTGTGCTAGAGGAAGTGTCAGAGAATCATCAAAGTGTTTAAGGTTCATCCTCTGGGGATCATGAATATATGTACAAAATGTGAAGGCATTTAATTGAATTGTTTTGGAGATATCTACTGTATGTCTGGATCAAATTGGAGGATTAACCAGTATTGCCATTGTTAGAGCCACACCGCTAGCGTAGCTTCTAAATTGATTACTATACTGTGATATAAATATCCCAATTACTAAGATCCTGGTAATGACTTCAACCTTTTCACCAAGTCACTATTTAGGCCTTTAAACATTTTGGATCAATTAAAGCAAACAGAGAGGCCAAAGCATTTTGGTTTTTCACTTGACAAACACTGAGATTTCATGTGGAGGGAACAACAATGAGTGTTTCCAAACCTTCCCAGTATGAGCAGCAGTCAGTTTCCTCTGCTGAGTAAACTCGCTGTGTGACTTTCAGTTAGTTCTTGATGTATTGTATCGGCTTGTAGTATCGACCCTCTTCATTTAGGCGACATATTGATTAACTGTGTAAGCTGCACTCATTTTTCATTTTGTAAAACTGGGGTTACATGTAATGGGAGCACTTTAGACAACAGGAACATGCAGAGTACTTTGTTTTATTTTGTGTCGTGCCATTGGGGGGACTCACTGTCTGGGAATAGGTCAATCAGTCCTCCCTTTTTGACTAAAGTATCTCAACAACTGGATGGATCAGCATGACATGTTACTGTATACAAACATTCGTGATCCCCAGAGGATACATCCTGGACTAATCTCTTGACTTTTCCTATAGTGCCATTACGAGTTGACATTGTATGTTTAAAGTGATATTTCACATCAACAATTTTGATGGATTGCCTTGCAATTTGGTGATTAAACACATACAGGTTGTTGGATTTATCAAAATTACCCATATACCAACCTGACTGTTCACTTTAGCACCATTAAAGGAATACTTTGATTTATGAAATAAAATTGATGCCATTCCCATCAGCCTCAACGGTGTTAAATGCAGATAAGCTAATGTTTGCATGCTGACACACTGAACCAAGATTGTGAAAAATGTAAACTTCATAGGTCTGCCAAATATCAGCTGTAAGCATTGACATCGTGAGTTTATGTTAGCTTTTAGCTGAAAGCACCATTGTGACTTGGTCCAAACCAGTGGCGGCCGGCCCATAGGGGAGCCGCCCCCCCTCTTCCCACATTAAAAATAAAAAAAGATATATTTTAAAATTTATTTTTAATAAACAAGGTAAATATTATATAATTGATATCAGTAAAATGTATAATCGACAATATAGAGGTATAATATAAGTATATATAAGGGGTCACGAGCGTGATGACGAATCATAATTTTTTAAGGAAATCGTTTTTATTTTTTATTATAATTACTCTGAAATGTATTATGTTTTTGTC